GTGGGGGGGTTGGGCTAGAAAGGAGTGGCGGGTAGCGGGGCTGAGGGGAGTGCTGGGGGGTGAGTTGGGGGGAGATGGGGGAGGGTGGGAGTGGAGACAGGAGTGGGGCGGGCACCCAGGTGAGTAGGAGAGGGAGAGTGAGGGTGGGAGGGGAACTAGCAGGAGGTTGGGGATGGTGGGGGGGGGGGGGAGGTGAAGGAGTGAGTGAGGGGTCGGGTGGGAAGGTGTGGGGTGGTAATGGCAGTCGAGCTGGGGTTTAATTGCTGTGGGATCTCTCTCTCTCTCCATCCAGGCAGCAGTGCCCCTGACCTGCTGGGAGGGACCACGTCAGCCAACCTGGGCTACCAGTCCTTGGACCGTTTCTCAGTGGGGCCCTGCCACCCCCAGGCCCCTGTCTCCTCTTCCTCCTCCTCCTCCTCTTCCTCGTCTACCCCTGCCCCTGCACCTGCACCCCCAGCCCAGCAGCCCTACTACATGACCCTGGGGGTAGACCCGAGGGCCGGGGACCAGTTGGCCAATCCCTTCACCTTCGCGGGCAAGGCCCCAGACGTGACCGTGGCCGGCGCCTTCTCCACCATCGACGTTTCCGAGCTGTTTGGCTCCGCCTTCCAGCTGGGGCAGGGAGACGGGATAGGGGTTGGGGGTACAGTGGCGCCCCCAACAGGCCCTTGCGTGGCCAAGCCAGACCTGTACCTGAGCGAGGGCCCGAGCTCCATGGATCAGTTCCTGGGCGACGCCAACCTGATGGGCCAGGAGAACGAGTGCGTCAGCCTGGGTTCCATCGACAACATGGATTTCCAGGAGCTCCTGAGGCAGGAGGCCGTGACCCCTCAGCACCAGCAGAACCAGCAGCACCAGGCCCCGGCTCCACCTTCGCAGCCCAATCCCAGTAGGCCCCAGCTGCCCGATTTCGGCCTGGAGGGCCTGACCAGCAGCTTGCAGACGACCACACTGATGAACTACTCACCTGACCTGCTGAAGCTGATGGCCAGCAACCAGGAGGACGGGAAAGCTGAGGCCGGTGAGACCGCCCTGAACGGGGGCGATCTGGAACCCACTGCCTTCCTGCCTGACCCCTCGGAAGAGGACCACTTAATGTCGATCTTCACCCACAGCTTCGACCTGATGAACTCCACCGAGATTAACAAGATCTATGAGACGCAGTAGCGAGCCCATTCTGAAAACCACACTCCCCCCCC